ATGCTTTGTTCACAGTCACTTAAATCACCTTCCTTTCCCATTCTGATGCTTAATTTGAACTTTAGCAAAATGCACTTATAGGTCAGTGACACTACATATGTTTATTATTTTCCAAACATTTCTATTAACAACCAGTAGAATAGGCGCGCTTAATATGGCAGTCGGGGACTGTATTTACCTCTGGTCAGTAGGACAACAATCACAATTGTCAAGTCAAGAAAAACAACACTGAAATGTTAAAAGAGAAAAGTGTGCCTTGGCTGGCTAGATTTGTGCAGCCACCTGGAGAGATTATAAACTGATGCTGCATTGCAAAGGATGGTGAACCAGGAAGGGCCCACGTCAAGCATACCAGCTGGGTCACATGTGGTACTAAGCAAATACTATTTCCAACAGGCTTTCCCATTTTCAAAATGCACGTGATGTCCAGACAATCGATATAATCTCACCTCAACAACAATACCATCACTTTGCCAAGGTTAAACTCTGACTAATACATAAAGCTGAATTAAATGCCATATCAGGTGCAGAAAAAATGCAATGCGAAAAAAAAGGGCCATTCTTCCACAGTTGTGGTCATGTGTCCTGATTAAACACTCCCACACAAGTGTGCCTGGCGAGGTCATGCAGCACCGTTCAATCATTCTGCCACTATGACAGGCAACCTTCCACCCACCGGCCACGCACATCCTCCCTGGGCTCCCTCCATTAAATAAATTGTGCTGTAATAATCTCTTGGCTCCCAATATTGGTGGCTGAGCACAGAAGCCTATTTTGATTACCCCACTTTCAGGCCAAGCCAGAACCATCTGTAATCCCCATGTTTTACCATCACTACATTAAAGAAGGAATTATTTAATGGAGACTGAAAGAGAAATGGTGTCATTATCCTATGCTTTCTGAAGCAGACATTTCCCCCCACCTTTCTATGTAGATTACCACTATAAGAAAATAAGAAATGGTTGGTGACATATCATGCTTACACTTTGCTCTCTGAATGTCAAAAACATATTAAACTGGGCTACAAAAATGCAGGCTTTAGGCAACTGGTACCCAGAGTGTGACTCCCGCTCACCACAAGGAGGAGAGTCATCGTTGTTCCAATCATGTACTGTATGTTGCTCCATCTCATTTTTCAATACATCCAATGATGGAAAGCTGAAGGTCCCATGAGACCCAAACAAATCAATGGCAAAATGTAGTCTCAAATTAATTGTAGTGAACCTGACCGAAATAGAGAATGCTGTTATTCAATCAGATCCCTTACGCTCAACACACAAACATAGTACACACAGAAATGCATGTGAGCACTCAGACTGGTACAGTAAGCATGCTGTATCCTCAACAGAAAGCCAGCAGCTGTTAGTGGCTGCTAGTGCTTGATAAGGCTGCTAATTCTTGATAAGACCTGTAAAGCTAAACTGCACAACGTTTAAAAATATCTCTGAATTCATGAAGTGAACAGTGATGAAAATACTTATTCCATTGATATCTTGCAAAGTGTAAAGACAGTTTCTGTAGAGGCAGCACAGCTACCAGCTTTACTCATATCAAGTACACTGAGTTCTTAGTTGCCAGTTTAACTGTAGCTATGATGATGCGAAATCATCATAGCTACATCATAGCTAAATATGCGAAATTTTCTACTGTCATCAGTTTGAGGTATTGGGTGGCAATAAATTCTCACTCAAGCATTGAATCCAAAACCAGTTAACAAATAGCAAATGGTAAGATACAGCAAATGCCTTCAGCAACAACGACTATAATTTTATCTAGGCTGTAAATTGCCTAAAAGTTGACTCCCTTTACCTTTATTTCTGCATTAATATGCATGGTGGTTACTCTCTCTTATATGTTCTTTGCAAAAGAATATCAGAAGCAAAGTTGTAAAACATGTCAGTTCAGATTTATTATTCCTGCTGTCTACAACACAACTGAATGCACATGAGGAATAAAAGGCTGTTGCAAAAGTGGACCTTGCAGAAGAGATTTGCCTTACTGTTCCAAAGGGATTTAACTGATTGACAGAAACTGCAGGACAGCCGACCTGATTCTGAGGATGCGATGGCGGTAAAGTTCCAAAGCTTAATAATAATAATAGAAATAAAGTTTGAATGCATGACATCTTCTTTTCGATTTCTCCAGGGAATTGTAGAAGAGTTTCCAACAGATGTGTCCTGAGGGCCCTGAATTGCTAGATAATTAAAAGGCTCTTCTTGATCAGAAGGTTGCATACTAATATTGCACCTCATCAGTTGTGTAGAAGTCTCCACAATGCTGTTCCATTGACAGACTCTTTTCAAAAGGCTCTATGCAAACAGGTAAGAAAATAATAATCATCTGGTTTCCATCATAAGAAGAAGACAGAAGAGCCATTCTGTGAGAGGGATGTCGTTCTGTCAGTCAAGCACCAAAATATCCTGTCTATAATATTCTATGACTTTTATAGCTCTTTATTTCAAGGACATGCTGTATTGATAGGTGTCAGCTCTATCGCTTTTTCATGATTGAGACAAGAAAAAAACTTGCAGAAGGGATATCTAAAAAAAATCCAGTCTGAACTGGAACATAAAAGGCAATAATCTCAGCACCAATCATGTGTATTGTTCAAATAACCTATAAAACTCCCACATATATTTTACAGCCATCACAACATTAATATTTTTCCTTATATAAAAGGTACATTGATAAACCGGTCTTATTTTTTTCGGTCACCCTCTGGGAAACTGACTGCATCTGCTCACTGTGAGTTGCTTGCTCAGAATCGAAGGAGGCTGTTCAGCTTTGGATCTGGAAATTAGGCTGTAGATTGGATTATGATGCCATTTTTAATCTGCCTTTTTCCCTTGCAGGATATTGCTCCTCCCCTGCTTCTTAGTGTTATACAAAACTTGACAAGAGGAGATTTTGCTGAATTCCGCTACAGTGATGACTGTGATTCCTTGTGACACTCTAATTTGAGCTTATACAGCCAAAGCTTTGATGCAGACATGGGAATAAAACTTTTAGTCACAGAGACCCTTCTCCTCTCCAGGCCCATTAAAAGGTCCCAGATATCTCCTTGTGTACTTTAATTACAGTCATCTTGCACTGTCCTTTTTCCTGATTTTGAGGTTGTAGGCATTCATGTGTCTTCTTTCAGCTTCACTTTGTCAAAAATTAAATACTAGCTCTGACTCAGTGGCAACAGACTTTCTGGCCTAATGTGCTATGTTTTCCCATATTGCTTCCAAATTGGTCTGAAATGCTTTTTGAGAAATGTGACTACTGGTTTTAAAAAAAAAAACCAAAAGGTTCTCTTGATATTGACTCCATTAAACAATTTAGCAAAATGAAATGAAAGAAATGAAATGTGTCCTTTGTCTTTTTCATGTTAGTCACAGCAAAATATGCAACACTCCATGCAGAGTTAAATAAAGCATAGCCTTAGCTTTTCCCTGTCCTGATTGCGTGCCACATCTGTGGTTTTAATTGTACAGTTGAGTGATTGCAAAATCATAGTGCTGAGTGCTCGTGGCACAAGCAAATGGTTCTCAGATCACCAAAATGTTTAATTATCATAATATACAGTATCCATCATCATAGCCCAAACAAGTGGGTGGCGACCTCATTTTTTTTTTTTTTTAATTACTTCTCTCTCAGTGCATCTGTTTATTTTGACAGATCTCAATGACAGAGTCAAACAAGTACTTGTTTTATAAGTACTTGTAATCTTGTTTTTAGGATCTTGCTCAAAGACACTTCAGAACCAGTGGCTGGTGCCAAATCTCTGACCTTTCAGTATCAGGACAGTCTCCCCAAGCGCTAAATCACCCTTCACCTGACATTTAACATGGTGAGTAAGAGAGCAGAGGGGTCAGAGA